ACTTACTGATTTGTAGGCTTGTTCAAAACTATGGGCACTGTAAAAAAAACGGACATTCAGATTTGTAGCAGCCATGCTTCTAGTTGCCATGGTGTACAAACGACATTTATGTTAACTGTATTATGTATGCTCAAAATGTTTGGTGAGTAGGTGATAAGAGATGTTTCTTATATGACACTGGCAATTGTCCATATACTTACTGGTGATGATGCAATAGACTTTAAAAATTAAAACAATACCTGCTTGTCCATATGAAAATATAGTTGTCCAATAAAACTTTAGTGTTTAACACCTTGAATATCGAAACCACTTTTTTACCAAATAAAACATGTCATCAAAAGTTGAATATTTTGTTGGTATCTCTAACATCAGAGAAAGTCACATTAAGATCTGACTTTTCAAATAACAGCTTAAAAAATGTTTTTTTTTTTTGTAGGGCCCATGATAATACTATGATACATTGAACAATGTAATAATGTGATTTCTGTAATCATTTTGATGGTTGTCCCAAAGACCAACCAGTTTTCATATTTGGTTGTCCTTTGATAAAAGTGATTGCCCAGGGCAACCGGACAACTGTCAACTCCCAAGGACAAAGATACAAAACACTTACTTGAAGTGAAAACTTACGTCCCCACCCTCACTCCAAAATAATTTTACTTATAATAAAATTTGATTACAATGTAAATGTAAGCTCATGTATAAGCTGAGATGACCTGACCTGACCTGACCTGACCTGACCCGACCCGACCCGACCAAGCCCAAATTGTTGTCTTTGCATTGCTAGGGTGGGGCTATGTTACAATGAAACATACAGTACCTAGTTGAAGCCTGTCCTTGTTGAGCTAGTAACAATGCCTCCTTTTGTTGTAGTTCAGCAACCTGTCTTGTTAACTCCTGTGGAGATCTGTTAATATATAATTAAAAGTGAAATTATACACTACGTATGTACCAAGACGGATAATACATGTAGCTGTCTATGTGTAACTGAAAACTGGATCCATAATAACAAAAATGCTTCATTTTGCTGTATTTTTAATATCAAAAAACAATGGCACCATTTGACCATCTTGAACTGGATTGTCAAACAAAATGTGCATATGTGTGACATCATGTATGATGTATAAATTAATTTAAAGACGATTGGTCAAGGTTTGTCAGCGATATGGCTCTAGAACAGCATTTCAAACAAAATGACCGCCAGTTGGCCATTTAAAATCTGATCTGATAATCAGTCAGCCATCTTGAGTAAAATTTACCAATCAAAGTAAGGTGCATTAACTATCCTACTGTCCAAAATACAGCTTTGAATGAACTTATGCACAGACGCACATATGCACAAAGAAATCGTCCAAACAGTGAAAAAAAAAAGATTAGAAGCTTATGTTGAATCAGGCTTTGATATAATGTATGTGACTCTATCTCCAATATCTCCAATAAAAGTGCATGTAATCACATTAGTTGTATACTGGATCATTCAAGTTTCACTTATTTTGACCATAGCCATACCTCTGTCATTTAAATGAAAACATGCCATACTAATAGAGTAAATTGGTCTAGATGACAGTGATCCATTTCTGAAATTACTGTAACAGTATAAATTGATCAACAACAGTTAAAAGTGAAACAATTTGTGTAGGCACGATATATATGTTATATAGAAAGTCATGACATAGCCCCTGATATGTTTTCGTTCAGAATTTACTGCAATATGAATACTGGTGCATATACAGATTGTATGTATTCATAAAAGGTAAATACAATTGTACTTCGGTCATGTTCTGTCTTTACATGCCCTCCGATTGGGAAAAGGACTCCATCCTGCCCCCCATTACAGGGTTCGACGGCCATCTGCATGGCCACCTCCCTACATTTCGGCCGTGGCAGTGTGTCCTTGACCCCAACCATGACAGTGATCGAAAGGGGCCCTTTGCCCAATTTTTATTTTAGGTACTTTATTGTTTGTATTTACAAGCCTTATTTTGACTTGTTTCAATTTTGTAATTGTTTAGTAGATTGATTTTACAGAGTGGTTTTATTTTACATGTATCTGTATTTATTATTGTTTTTCCTTTATTTTATACATTATATTACAATTATTCATTTATCTCTTATTGTGAGATATGTATTTATTTCACTCATTTACAGTATTTTTAGTATTTCCTTTTATTTTCATTTTTTTTATTATTACATGTTTTTGACTTTATTGTATTTTATGTCAAGATCTCAAATGGGATACGATAGCAATAAAGAATTACTTACTTACTTACTCAATAAATTGCTTGTTTTTTATCCCTTACCTTGGTTGTGATGTGCATTTACAATGTATTCATAAAAGGTAAATACAACTGGTTCAAGCCTATAAGAGATAATGCTTATAATGTACTGAATTTGAAAACAATCCCATCATTCTATTATGAGTGTACAAACATGATGAACCCACCTCGCTTTAATAGTACCGCCAGCATCCATTGTTTCCCATCGCTTTAGTTTTTCTTGCAATTCTTCATTTTCAATCTGCAGTTTAGTGGTTTGAATAATTCTAGAATCTGATCTACTTAGTTTAGTCTCCAGACTGTTACATCTTTCTTGTAGCAATGCATAGTTCTCTTTTGACTCCCTGTAAGTACATCAAAGCAGGTAATGGATAGGATTAATCTTGGGACATCATTCGCCACAACTAACTATGACATATTTCACTACTCTACAACAGCCATATACCACAAATACCTCTGCGCAATAAATCAGGAATCAGGAAATAATATGCAAGGAATTTTAAAATACATCTACAACAGCTTAGGGCCATAAAGATGAAAATGAATGCAGTCAAAGCAACATAACAACAAAGTCACATCCATTAATAAATATAATAAATAATTATATAATTCATTAATAAATTAATCTTGACCTTCCCATTGAACAGGTGTCAACCTCTTTTCAAATATTGTGATTTCAATATGTGGAGTACAATATAAGCACATTCTGTGCGTACAAATTATACAAATCAACTATCTACAGACAGACAGACAGACAGACAGACAGACAGACAGACAGACAGACAGACAGACAGACAAACATTACAAAATTACCTCTTGTGTAAGACAATTTTATACAAAATGTTTTACATGTTACTTCACAGGATTGGTGCAAAACATACCTAAAATATTCATTTTCTTCTTTCAATTTTTTATTTTCTCTTTCTATCTCACTTAGTTTACTGAGCTGATCTTTCATAACATTGCCAACTATAGCAGTTTCTTCATATTTTTGTAACTTAAGTTCCAATCCCTAATTTGAGAAAAACAATACATTTATTTATTTATTTATTTATTTATTTATTTATTTATTTATTTATTTATTTATTTATTTATTTATTTATTTATTTATTTATTTATTTATTTATTTATTTAATTTGACAAAAATTTAAATACTTACTCTTTAAAAAACACTTGCTATCAAAAATGTATGATAAGAATATTGTATCATATGATAAGATCATGGAATCATGTGATAGGATCATTGTACCATATGATAAGATCATGGAATCATGTGATAGTCTCATTGTACCATATGATAAGATCATGGAATCATGTGATAGGATCAATGCACCATATGATAAGATCATGGAATCATGTGACAGGATCATTGTACCATATGATATGATCATGGAATCATGTGATAGGATCATTGTACCATATGATAAGATCATGGAATCATGTGATAAAGTCATTGTACCATATGATAAGATCATGGAATCATGTGATAGGATCATTGTACCATATAAGATCATGGAATCATGTGATAGGATCATTGTACCATATGATAAGATCATGGAATCATGCGATAGGATCATTGTAA